ACGAAATAACACAAAAACGTACATGTGCTGCATATGTCCGACATCATAAATGAGGTGCAGGGTGCGAATCACGCGCGAGGGGGAGAAAAAGGGCGGGAGAGAGTGGGAGGGAGTGAGAGTTAGCGGTGAGAAAGAGAGACAATATCGAACGTATTTTTTTCTTTTTTTTTTTTTTATTCGTCACTCTTCCGTATCGATACGAGAAGACATCATTCGCGATCGAGCTTTTCAAAAAAAAGGAACACTTTTCAACCCTCGTCTCGTTGCTTTCCACCCTCGTTCGATCGATCGAACGAAAATAACGAAACCGATCCCTCTTTTGTCCCAACAATAAAATTGTCGTTTTCACTGAAATTTTCTCATCGAAATTTTATTTGACGAAAGAAAAAATAATTATCGACACACTTTTCTCTACATACATCCAATTGTATATACGATCCAATTTATTATTTTTTCCATTCTTTGTTAGTTGGTAAAAGAAATATTATTTAAATACTAAAAAAAAAAAAAAAAAAAAAAAAAAAAAAAATAGAGATAGAAGAAGCAATGAGAAATATAATATAATTAAGGAAGACACTTTTAAATAGGGGAGGGGGGGGTAGAAAAGAATGACGCGGCGAGGGTTAGAATGCGCGTGAAAAATATATAGGGGGCAAGGAACCGTGTAGGTGAAGGAAAGTGAATTTAGGATGAAAATTGATCGAGCGTCATCTTCTCTAATAAACGCACAATTTTTCTGAACCTTCGATCCCCTGCTTCTTTCTTTCGGCATCCCTTTTAATAAAAAAAAAAAAAAAGAAGAAGAAGATGATGATGATAGAAAAAAAAAAAATCGTCATTCGATGCGATTCGCGACATTCTTTTTGTATCACCCATGAACGACAATATTTGTACACACACCCACCCTTTTCGTTACCGCACAATGATCATATAATATAATTTTTCATCGATTCGATAATATCGAGTCGGACACACACACACACACACACACACACACACCTCTGAGTTTTTTACCCCGAACGTTTTCGCCTGGAACACACCAAGTTCTCCTCCCTGCTTTTTTCGGCTCGTCAATTGGCGGAACAATAGGCAATAAGAGAGGGATGGAAATGTGAGGGTTAATAAACTGGTGAAAATATTGAACGTTGCCTGATCTTGGAGTGTTAACGATTATCTGTATTTTATGTCCGTTTATATGAATTTCGAAGAGTTGGCCTCGAATCTCGAAAGGATCGACGAGTATGGACAAATATTAAATACATTTTTCCTTTCTCAAAGAGAG